ACCTGACCTGACCTTGACCTTGACCTCTGAATGATATTGTAGGCAACGAATATTGTCTTGGTAGCCTAAGAACACGTTTTGGGCAATCAGTCTCAGTCCATGACTCCATTCTTCGGTCACTACGGTGCAAGGCCGATACTGTAGAAACTTGCAATTTGTACCCTTGACCTGACCTTGACCTTGACCTCAAACTTTAAATTAAGTACATGTTTTTAGTTGTTCGTGATGAGATCTTTCGATTGGCGTTCGAATTTTCCAAATTAGACCATTAGTTCGGGAGATAACAGGGGGGGGGGGTAAAATTTACCCCCCCCCAGCCCCGCGCGTTCGGCTGGAGACCCCAGCCCCGCGCGGGTTAAGTGTTTTCGTTCTTATTTTTGACGTTCTTTCGATTGCCGCTTACCGCGTGTCTCTACGTGGCCCAGGAGCCGAGTTAGAAGGGGGGGGGGGGTGTTCAAACACCCCCCACACCAGGTCGTGGAAAATCCAGACTGACACTGGGGCGCGGGTTAATATAGCCTATGCTCATCATATTCAGGAAAACCTGAAAAATGATATAAAGAAGAGACAAATGTTTCACCATTACGGCGTCAGCAGAGCTGCTTTATCTGCTCTGCAGCTGCTTTATCAGAGTTTTACCAAATTGCGGCTTTATTGAATCCGCAATGATAAAAGTTTTGTTTCCTAAATGATTATGTAACTTAAAATCAAATCTTATTAATAATTGTGCTTAATTCTTATTTTCAATTATGTTTACATCATTTACTTTCTAATGTTTGGAACGGTTCATGCAGGTCTGAGCAGGGACACTCGCACGCAAAGGAGAAGTCAGATATACATATTCAACCCTCTCACTTAAAGCCGGGGTTGAGAGGAACCCTAGGTTTTTCGCAAATAACTGCAGGCGCGTTTCCAACCTTTTATAACCTCAATTACTTCGTTTCCAACTTTTTTTTGCTTGCAAAAAAATTCAAACATTTCAAATCCTGTTAGTTCCATGCATGTATGTCAAGGTCACGTGTAAGTAAGGTCAAGGTCATTGACCTTTGGTGACCTTTGATCACTTTTTCGACTTAAACATGTTTTTATGGTAATTATTATAGCTAATTTCGGGTTAAGCATCCATTTGAACATTTACGAAGTAGTTTTGGTGCCTTTGTAACATGTTACGAAGCTGTCAGTGCTGGTTAACACCCATTGTCACCGCAGGCGGCTGTCAGCTCCTATTATTTTTTTGCTGCCCTCGTCGCAGCTGCGATGTCGGCCGTTCCTGTCGGTAGCAGCAGGTGCGGCTTCAGGCCGGGTTTGATGTGTGCTGAGCTGTGCACTAGGTATTAACGCTGTGCAGCTCGCTGAGTGCGCCTCTGTGCTGCCCCGGGGGTGGCTGATCACGTGGCTGTCGGGCTGGCTGGTCCGCACTGCTCAGTGGACGCGAGCCATTTTCTGCCGTTGTTGTCGGGCCGGCTGGCCGAGTGCTCCTGTGGCTGGCTCGCGCACTTAGTCGTTTTGGTAATCTGCGGTGCGCTCCAGATTCTGTGGTGTTTTTCGTCGGCTGCCTCCCAACGGACCTGAGAGGATCAATATCCGGTACGATATTTCTATTTTCCTTATATTTTGTCTTTTTATCGTTATTGTTTTGACTTCGCTAGGTTGAGTACCTACAGCGACCGAATTAAACGTTTTAGTTGCTCGTCAGAGATAGTTGAGCTGAAGCTATTGATCCGAATTGGTTGATGGAATGATCGTGCTTTGCATTCGCTGCATTATATTTATTCGTGCCGTGTTATTGATCGCTGTTATCGCCCAGGCTCGGGGTTGATGCTGTGATCTAGAGGGCGCTGGTCTTGCGCAATTTAGTGGCGCTGCCGGCGCTGCGATTAAGGCTGGAGACTTCCACACGCGGGTAAGTCGCGTGTAAGTGGTTTGCGGGTAAGCTGGCGTTTATCTCGCGTTTAAGTCGGCGGGTAACTTTGCCCGGAGACTTCCATCTGCGGGTAAATAGTTTGTTCGCTAAGTTAGCGAACGAACTTACACGCGAGCCACCCCATGTATTAAGTTTGCGGGTATCTTTTCGGTGATGCTTTTTTGGTCCTTAGGGGGTTTTAAAAGTTGATTTCTGTGCAAATTTTATGTGCAAGTGATAGACAATAGTGCAATCATCTAGTTCTGGCTTTTTCAACCAGTTCGGCCTAGCCGTTCGGCTGCTAAGATTAGACGAATTTGAGGTCACCTTTTCATAGTAGGTACTGAGGCCAGTTTTACCCGCAGAAAAATAGCCGCCTGGCGGAATTTTTCGCCTAAAGGCCGATTCACATACGGATCGAGAGCGGTAAAGCCCTATCCGCTTACATGCTTATCGCGTTTACACTCCGTATGTGAAACGGTCTTTAGGCAAAAAATTCCGCCAGGCAGCTATTTTTTTGTTGGTTAAACTGGCCTCTGTGCTTGTTGAGGGATTACAAATTACGTATTTCATCACTGCAAGTATCCAGATGTTTTCAACAAGTCATACATGAGTAATCAGAGCAATATTTGAGTTGACAGAATTGAGGATGTAGGACTCAAATTTTCAAATACGGAGGTATTAGTCTATTTCCATCGCACCTATCTCCTTGCCACCAGCTGCTATTTCGTAATCTTCGGGATAGTGAGATGGGATTCGTATCGCATCCGAAATAATGTGATCGTCGAGCCAGCCGGCTAGTGTCGGGCCCCTGTCGTCGCACTTTGCGTTACGTGTCAGTGGGGCGAGGACCAGCCCAGTGGAAGCAATACGAGTGTCCGGTCAACAACCATGGACAGGAAGAAGAGGAGCAGAAATTTCAGTAGTAGAGACATGCATTTGTTAGACGATGTCATGAAGACTGAAGTAAAAGTCATCGAAAATAAGCGACACGATGGAAGAAGTAATGAAGAACGAAAACGGTCTTGGAAGAACATTGTTACAGCCTGTAATGCCAGGTCAGAAGAAAAATGGGACTAGAAACAGCTGACACAGCTCTGGAGAGATATGAAAAGGACGGCCAAAAAGAACCATTAGCGGTTTAAACGGTAGCAAATGGATACTGGTGGTGGACCGGATCCTGCGCCGTTGGAACACGCTGTTCTGGTTAGGTTAATGCATCACCACATCCCATTGTTACGGCTGTACGCATTGCATGTGTAAAAACGCTGATTGGGGGCCACCGGTCCCATAAATAACGGAATAACGCACTTGTTCATTGGACCAGCCGATCGCCGCATCCCGATCAGCTGATAGGGAAGCCCTTTAAACTGGCGTGTAAGTCGGCATTTAAATATTTACACGCGTGTAGCTACCCACCAGTTAACCGCGGATGGAAGTCCCCGGGTAAAAGTTGGTGGGCAGCTACACGCGTGTAAGGAAGTTAGCCACCAAAATAAACGCGAGTTAACCGCAAACTGGAAGTCTCCAGCCTAAGTGTGTTATTTGATCAGTTATGTGCATCCCCTTTTGTGTGCTGATAGCGAAAGTGTTATGCCCGTATGTTTTGTTCCATGTTCCGTTTATTTCCCTGTTTGGTTGATAAGTGTTTGAGTTCCACGTTGCGTGCGACGTTTTGTTCTGATATCGTTCTTATGTGGGTAATCGTTATTTGCAGAAACCGTCATCGTCTCGCTGGTACAGTGGAATATACGACACTTATCAGCGCTGAGTTTTCCGGACGCGTCTTCGGAGGGGACGATCGGGTCGGGAGCGGCTACACCCATATATAACCGGTAGGACGTATTCTGGTTGACCCAACCTGACCTGACCCGACGTGGCCTAAATGCATGAAGACCAGTGGTGTAGACAGGGGGGTCACAGGGGCCATGCCCCCCCCCCCTTCCGCCCAGCCGGCCAGCGATGGCGCCCCCAGTAGCGCCAACTGGGCTGATGCCGTTTTACAAAGGGATCATGAATTAAAAAGTATAGTGCAAAATTCCAAGTTGCCCAACCGCTTGCAAGCCAGGCTTGGTAAGTACAAGCTTCTTATGTGTAGTTCGAAATCAGGCTGAATTCCCGAACTAAAGTGGACAACCTGTTTGGGGGAGATTGGATCTTCTGGAGCTTTTCCGACATTCCCAACCGTATAGCCATTAATTATTACGAGCGAGCGAGCGCAGCGAGCGAAGCGAGTCTTTTCAATATAACGGAAAAATCTCAGTATGAGCGGCCCGGCCCGGTCTGTAACGCTTTTGAGAGGCTTATATCTCAGCAACCGCTGGACCGATTCGCCTGCGGTCTTTTTTGCTGGGTAGCCCCATCCCTTCTACCCCGTAATAGACTACTTTTGATACATCTCAGTGACCGTCATGGCACGTGCCACGTGAAAAGTCAAGGGTGTTCAAGCTCTTTTGCAAAAGTAGTGATTTTGAGAGGCTCATATCTCAGCAGCCGCTTGGGCGATTGACTTGCGGTAATTTTTGTAGGGTAGCAGCATCCCTTCTACCAAAAATAGGATACTCTCGATGCATGTGGGTCACCCCCAGTGCACGTGCAAAATACAACAATAAGAGGTGTCAAATTTGTTCCCATTTTAATAACTCTGTAACTACTGGGGCGATTTCGCTGAAACTTGGCATACAGGTAGGCACCCACCAGGCAATGCATTCCCATGTGTTGCGGTTAAGGTGCTACTGCACGTACGCACGTGCAGGGGGCGCCTCCAGATCTCGAGAACGGCTGGGCCGATTACGCTCAAATTTGGTACACGGTTGGGGACCGGTTAGTAGGATGCCGTGCAAAAGTCAGTTTGGGCCCCGTTTGCACGTGCGCACGTGCAGAATGCCGCTTCCAGATCTCAGGAACGGCTGCGCCGATTGCCTTCAAATTTGGCACACCGCTAGCGACCGGTTAGAAGGGTGCTGTACACAAGCCCGTTGGAAGTACCCTCTCGCCCTTCCGCACGTGCAGGGCTCACTATCTCGCTCGCTCGTTCTTCGCCCAAAAGGCGTTTTACTGGTGTTTATGACTGAATTGCTGGTTGGGGTGAATGTGTCTGCTTTCACAGCCTACCACTCCGTTTCAACATTTATTCTCGGGAATGCACATGAATTAGCACATTAGGACTCACACACATACTGCATGCATACAATATAGGTCATATGCAATGGACATACAATAACGAGACATACGAACAATCGAACAAGATCAACATCGTTTAAGAATCTGAAGTGTGGTCCGTCGTTTTACGGAGCGGCTTAGAAGTAGCCTCCGTACCCTCCGTACCGTCCGAAGCCGCCGTTGAAAGCGCCGATACGTCCTAGGCCGAAGCCGCCGTTGAAAGCACCGACACGTCCTAGGCCGAAGCCGCCGTTGAAAGCGCCGATACGTCCGAGGCCGAAGCTGTTGAAGGTTCCAATGCCACTGAAACCGCGGCCGTAGCCGAGACCGAAGCCGAGTTTGTTGCCGATGCCTCCAAAGCCACCGAAGCCACCGAAGCCACCGCCGAAGGCGCCGAAGTTATTGAAGCCGAAGTTTCCCTGGAAGCCCCGTCCGTACGGGGAGTAGTAGTTGTCATAGTAGTAGGGCCGGCTGTAGTAGTTGTCATAGTAGTAGGGCCGGCTGTAGTAGTTGTCATAGTAGTACGGCCGGCTGTAGTAGTAGTTGCTGCCGTGGTAGGGAAGGTAGCTGGCAGCGGCAACAGCCACCAGGGCGAAGAGGATGACCAGCTGAAAAAAAGAAAATGAGAGGTTTGGTAATTGTTGATCTTCACTGTTGTCTGTTTGGATTTCTGTGCTGTTTTGCTATTATATTTTGCTTTTTATTCATCTGACCTGGACCATCAGTCTGTTGTGCTGAAAGGTGCAACGATGAAGGGTGCAGTGCAACTGATCAAATCTGATAGGTCATGGAAAAGTGGAAAATGTTCTCGCGAAGCCTTAATTACAGTCAATAACAGGTGAAGTGGTTTGGCGTGGCTATAGCCTATAGTTTACCACAATCAATTATACAAAGGGTCCCTTGGTACTGAGTTGTAACACTGTAGTAATAAATACTAAGTTGTGCGTCCTGGGTAAGATCCGACTTACCTTCATGTTGGTTTGTGATGGAGAGAACTGAGCTGCGCTGAGGGTGCAGTTGAACTGTGGGACCTGTGCACCCGTTTTATACACCTATAGCGCAGACACACCCCTTTGTGACGTCATCCAAAGGAGTTGCTGCTGCTGCACAGCGATCACGTGTTCCTCAGCATAATCTCGTGGAATAAAGGAAAATTATACTAGTTGCAGATTGTACTTAATCTGTGCCGTATCCGTTGCGGGTCTTTTAACGTGTACAATTCAACTTTTTATGTGATTTTACAGCGGAAAACTTTAGTAATTGTTATATAATTCGCAATGATAAAGTTTCACTGAAATATTACGCGCACTTTTTTTTGCACTTTTGCATGTTGTTGAACATCTGTGCACCTGACCTGCAAAGACTAGCATAGGTATGTTAGACTTATCGCTTCACATACACTTGCAGTCTCGCACGCTGTGCGGAAATTGTTAAGCTATACCTACCAATCAACACCCTAACAATCTAATCCCAGAAAAAAAGGTGTCATAACTCATACCTTGACCGCGCCAGGGCGCTGGTCTGATGGGAACATATCGTAGCGGGTAGAGGCGTTTTTAGCCTCTCTCCCCTCCCCCTAACTCGGCTCCTGGACCGCGACACGAAGTAAGCGGCATTTGAAAGGGGGTTAAAATCATGAGGAAACTTTTCTGTTGCGGTTATAGATCGCAAAAGTCATCAAACTTAAAATGTTACCGATTTGCCGTTCTTGAACATTTGGCTGAAACAACGGTTCCTGACCTCATGAAAAGTTGTGGGGCACCGCCCCCACGGCCCCAGAGCTGTGGGAGCAAGCTTCCCCCACTGCCCCCTCCCCCGGTTCCCGCGCCTATGTATGAATCTATGAAATTATGTTGGTAGATTTCCGATTTCGATTCCTCCAGCTGGGGGGGGGGGGGGGGCTCAAATACATTACGAGCCCCCCACCCCAGCCGAAAAGTTGGAGGTGCTCAGCCCCCACTAGCCCCCCCCCCCCCGGTTCCCGCGCCACTGATGTGAACTCTGATGTCCATTGCGCGCTCCGGCGTTTTATGCCGCAAAATAATCGGTGAGTCTTGTAGCGATACGTTTCACCAGACATTACCAGTAGTGGCTTCACCAGGCTCCATCAACTGGATGGCCGTACACAGGCGGACTGTGAACTTGTATAATTAGTAATATTGTCGAAAAACGGCCGGGCCGAGCATCAGCACAGTAAGAAAATGTTCGACGTATGTACTTAGACGAGTCATTCGGCATGGAATGCGCAAACATTCACATGGATGCAGCCTGATCATCGACCAGCCTGGATCCTTTAAGTTCAATTTTCAGAGGCTGTTGTACTTCGCCAGACCGTTTGAAAACTGACTAGGCCGTTTTCAAACTGTCTAGGCCGTTTCAAACTGCCTAGGCCGTTTTCATACGGCCTGATATTTCAGGCGGTTTGCAAACGGCCGGCTTTTTCAGGCCGTTTTCAAACGGCCTGAGTGGGCCAGGCCGTTTGCAAACGGACTGGGTTTTCATACGGTCTGTAACATATATACCACCATGTTTAAATGATGATTTTAGTATAAGATTTAAAAATTGTTAGCTCTTCGCTGACATCACAAATTCTCAGGGGGAATTTCATATGCATTAATTAGCCTCTTGGAATCTGAAAACTGTAAGTTTGAAATTAAATATATCCGAATTCAACAATTCTCGATGTTGTAAGTGCCCAAATCGGTAAGTGCAAGCCAGGGACCCCAATCTGGCTATCTAAACTCAAAACTAATGTTAATGTGGGATGGTCTCTTTAAGCCTTAGAGTTAAAAGGTCAAAATTTACGCTTTAGTTGAAAAATATTGTCTGCAGTAACATTTGATGCATAGCTTGTATGACATTGATTTTAACCCTATTAGTGGCAGGGGGGGTTGTTTTTATCCACCCCTCAGGTTTTTCGGGAATATCTCCGAAACCGCAGAAGCTACGATGCTGAAATTTTCTGACTTTTCCTAAAACTAAATTGGGCACATTCCCTGAAAATTTCAAGTTCATAACTTTACCAGGGGCGGCTCCAGAGCACTGGGAATTGGGGGGTCCTATTCGTGAAGCGAGTCATTTGGGCGAAGATCACGATGCTGCACCAGTTTTACGAACAGTGAATGAAAGGTATCATGTGATAACATATACAAAGTTATTGTGCATCCTCTTTTGACACGTTTTTGCTATAATAGGCGGATCCAGGCGTCCAAAAAGGGGGGTTATTTTTTACCTTCCAACATAGGTGCCCTGACACCGCCTATGCATGACCAATACAATTGTAGTCGTTCTCTCATAAGAAAATTGTAACATAACAAGACCATTGCCACCCTTTTTAGAAACAGTACCAACAAAAACCTTATTTACTATACTTTTTGTGTACCCCCAATCTCAATGATCTGTATCCGCCTATGATTTTTGAAAATGCATGTTTTTAGGATCCATGTGAATTCCTAGTTCATTCTCTATCGATCGGCAAAAGTTGCGTTAAGATTAGTTCAGAAACCTGGCCGTGATAAACAGTCTAAAATGTATCTGAAATTTGCCCGTTTTTACCCCCCTCTACCCCCCTATTGACATTTTTTAATTTTATTTTTTCAGAAATGTAGATCTCGTTGAGCGAAATCGAATGCCGTTTGAATTTTGAAAATCGGCCCGTTAGATCTCGAGATATCAAGGGGGGGGGGTCGTTAACAGCCCCCCCTGCCACTAATAGGGGTAGCCAGGAGCCTGCCACTAATAGGGTTAAATGGAGTGTTAACATCGTTGATACGAGCCGAATGGCTACATAGTTTAACCATAGCCCTCGCCGGCACAGGCCATTTTGAGTCCTTCGACGGCACAAGAGGGGTGGTACGACCCCCTGGCGTTTGGCCCATGATCGAGCTAGAGCTTCGCGGAAAAAAACAAGCGTGTTGCTCGTGACGAGAGGAAGCCGATGATACCCAATTTTAAGGTCCTAGATCATCGGTTGACCTTCCAGGTCAGGTCAATGACCCAACAGGCGGGAAAATCGGGACCTGTTAGAACTTCGTAAAGTGAGGTTATCATGTTTTTCGAGTTGCTGATCACGAATTTTATGTTACAGTTTAAATTACAGATGATGTCTTCATGCATTGAGGCCAGGTAGAGTCAGGTCAGGTCAGGTCAACCAGTAGGCATCTTGACGGCTATTCATTTTAAGTGTCAACCACCACTGACAACTTCGTAACATGTTACGAAGGCACCAAAACTACTGCGTAAATGTTCAAATGGTTGCTAAATTCGAAATTAGCTCCAAAACTGCCCTAGAAACATATAAAACTCGAAAAAGACAGCCATCAACAAAGTCATCAAAGGTCAATAGACAATAACCTTGACTTTACCTTCACGTGATCTTGATTTCCGCCATGATGCATTGGAGTTGGACCAGCATCATTTCACATGTCTGCACGTTTAAAACCGCACGAATACTGGATACGCCGAATTTGCGATTCCGGCCAAGGTCATAAAATTTTCAGGGTAGGTGTAAAATTGATCAATTTGAGGGTAGGTACTAGTTTGGTCGCGATTGGCCGCTTTTTGCGCGAGTTTTTTGCGAAGAACCCAGGGGATTGGTCCGTTTGACCCCCTATAAGGGCGAGGGTTAACTCAAAGAATGTTAAAATGTTATGTATGTTAAAAATTCTGCATTCGTATGCTAAAATGTTGCTATCATTTCTAGCGCTGGCATATTGGTAGGTCAAGCGATTAAAAAGGCAATGCCCTTCTCAGTGCAGCTGCACTTCATTTTATTTTTTGTTGTTTATGGTTTTCGTTTAGAAGTTCAAATGGACAAAATTCTGAAGCCAGAACCCTCATTATACAGCACTCGTTGCGCATGTCCTGAAACTTGCAGTCCGACAGGGAAATTCCGGGTTCCCGCAGGCCGCTACAGAGCTCAACAACCAAATGTTTGGCGGGTTCCGAATAGCCGGATACGGCCTAACCCCTCCCCTTAGCGCAGTGCACACACACACTTACAACCTCATCTGGCCCGCAGGTAGCGCAGGTAGCGGTAGCGCAGGTAGGTTGATGTGGGAGAAGTAATACGAAATTTCGCCGCGCTACGCGCCTCGGTTTTCCGATATAGGTAGCGGAAAACCGAGTAGCGGATAGCGTAGCGGATATCCCGGTTTTCCGGGATATCCGCGCCCTGATGGGGTCTGCCGAGCAACGCGGTCTGATGGGGGGCATTTTGGCCCCCCCCCCCAAGATCTCGAGAACCGCGCAATATAGCGACAAGCGGCAAACGGCGCTGGATAGCCCCAACGGGGAACTACCTTTTGACCCAATTTCATTGACCTTGGTCTAACCGATGACGTCACAGGTGTCAAAGGTCGAATTTTCACCGTTTACAGGCATTTCAAGAAATGCGTTGTAAAATCGAGTAAAATGCATTTCATTGAAAATCATCGATGGGGAAATGCTCGTCAAACACATATTTTGCTATTTGAGGTCACTGATACCAGGTCAGGTCACAGCGGTCAGGTCACTGAGGGTCACAAATTAAAAATATCATGTGATTCATGTTTTGTTTTATGGTCCATTTTATATGCCAAATTCGATTATGTGGGACAGGCAGCCCTTGGGGTCAGTTGAGATTATGTTTTGGTGAAGGTCAGGTCAAGGTCAGGTCAAATTAGGTCAAATTTCAAAGTTGATATTTTTGCATAAAATGGGTAACTATTCGATGCAGCTCGTCACGGGAAGTTCAATGGTAGTCTTTGTTTTGCGCTACGTGGTCTAGAATTGCTAAACATTGAGTTAAAAAATTTGACGTCATCAATTTTGAACAGTTTTTTTCGCTATAACTTGGCCAAAAAAGGAGGTATCAATCTAAAATTTGGTATGTATTTCGAAGAGCGCAGGAACTATCACACATATCCCGTTTTTTTTTAATTCGAATTTTAGGGGGAATTTTTTGAGTTTTTCTAAAAAAAATCATTTTATTTTTATTTTTTGGGGTTGAAAATCCAAAAATTTTGAAAGTACGAGATAAAAGTTT